GGCTCCAGAGCTGTGTCTTTCCTTTGGCAACAGCTGGCCAGGTAGCGGCCACTCCCGGTCCCATTTACCTGCTGCCCAACAATGCAAGGTCCCTAGAAGCAGGGGCAGTTTGGAAAATATCCCGAGTTTCCTAGCACCCACAGCTCCCATGACTCAGCTAGAAACCAGACGGCCGCTTGCCTGCCTCAGTTTCCCCATCTGTAAAAGGAGGGCGCTAGGTAAGTGGGGGGGAAGAGGGGTGTGCTTTTCATAAAGCATTTGGGATCCATTACATTCCTAGGCACCCTTCCTGGTCAGCCCCTTTCTATTTTCAGGCCTCTCCACGCTCTGCCTTTCAGCATAGCTCAGAGTCCTGTCTTGCTTGTTTATAGGCATCAGCAGATTCCTGGGCCAGGTTGTCCTTACCCGGGAAAGTCACTGGGATCAGGTGGCTGGGTGTTTGTGAGCCACCATTAAACCCTGGAGGACCTGGCGGCTCCCTGGGGCTGGAAGGAGAAGGCTCTGGGGGCTCTGATGTCTCGCACTCAAGCTGCCTCGTGCTAGATCCGTTTGTAACTTCTGGCCTGGGTTTCTGCCCTGCTGTCAGCAGACATATGAGGAGCTGGGGGCTCGCGGGGGCTGCGGGATAGAGATGTGCTTGTGCCATGGGTCTGCCCTCCCCAGATAACAGCCTGGAAGGATCTTTCGATCAATCCTCTGGGGATTCTGTCCTGATGCCAGCAGGGAGCAGCAAGACCCCAGCGCAGGGCGTGCGTCTGTCTGGGAAATGTCTAACGCCTGGCAGGTGCTACTGCTGTAGAAGTGACCATAGTCCTGGATCCCGCCTTAGGGCCCCCAAGATCCACAATCCACGCAATCCTGCCACGTTTCCAGGTCCCTGTATCTCGGCGCCACCCAGGCAGCAAGGGGGGGACACGTCTGGAGGCAAAGGCACCACTGGCATGGTGCACCAAGCCCTGAGCCCCTGACCCCTCTCTGTGTTAAGTGATTCAGCACCTTGTGAGTGGCCTTCCGGAGGTCAGGCTAGCAGCCAGGACCCCTCTGGCGCTCGCTGAGGGCCAGTTTGGGGCCAACGAACTTACCACCTTAAAAATGTGCATAGGGAGAGGGGAACATCTGGTGAACTCATCAGGGAGCGGCGGGGCTCTGAGCTCACCGGCAGTCGCCCAGGCCTGGGGCAGGGAGTGCGGGAACCTCCGAGAAGGGCTTACTCATCTGAAAACAGATCTGTCTGTCCCTCCCTATCTCTGTCCTTCCCCCCCGCCTTCCCTTCCAGCCCTCTGTCTCAAGGGGGGGCAATCATTTTTGGAGGGGGGCCACTTCACCAATGTTGATAGTGGTTGCGGGCCGGTCCTGGAAGGGGCGGAAGGGGCAGTTCCCTCTAGGCACCGTGTGGGGGGAGGAGACTTGGCGTGCTCCCCTGTCCCTAGGCCCCGATTGGCCTGGGGGCGAGGGAGCACACGAAGTCTCCCGCCCTGCCAGGACGTGCGACGTCTAGAGGAAACTGGCAGCCGTTTGGAACAGCTGATGGTTCCCTCTGGTGCCGTACAGCCCCGGCGGGGGGAGGAGACTTTGTGCGCTCCCCTGCCACCTAGGTGTTGATCAGCCGCGGCGGGCCTCGGGCCGGGTGCAATGGCTTGGCGGGCTGGATGTGGTCCATGGCTATATCTCGCCCATCCCTGCTCTGTCATTGGGCTAGCAAGTGGGCCGCCCAAGCAGCCCCCCTTCATCTCCGTGGGCCGCACGAGTGTCGCGACCGATCTAGTTTGCATCCCTAGACTTTGTGGGGGGTCCCGACGGCACCGTGGCGGCGTGTGGATGGGAGGCAAAGGGAGCAGAGCCGTGAGCCGCCAGCGCCCAGCTCCGCTCCCGGCCCTTGGCTTTCAGTGCGTGTCCCTTCGGTAACACCGGCAGGGGAAGAAATGCCGTGGATGAAAACCAGCAGAATCTGGCAACCCTGCCCATGGGCGACGGTGAACAAAATGTCTTGAGGGCCACCCATAGAACCCCCACAGGCCACGTGTCCCTTGGGTCCCACCACTGGCCTGTCCCTCCCTCCTCGCTTGTCTGGTCAAAGCTTTCACCCACCTCTTGGTGCCTTGGGCATCAGTGCCGGTGTTGATCAGACAGCAGGTGGGAAGGCAGCACACCCGCCCGCCCCAGTCCTGCGCCAGCCCCTCGAGCCTCCCTCTCTTCCCCCACTTCTAACGCCCTCCGAGCCTTCGAGAGCCTTCCCGGAGCTCAGATGGGGACCTGTCCATTCATGCCTAGGCAGGCCACGGGGGTCACCCCGGGGAAGGGCAGAGCCCTGGCCCATGGAGCCCCACCCCCGAGCCCTTCTGATGAGTCAGCCAACATAGGCCCGGCAGAGATGCTGCCTGACGTGCGGTAACCCCCTGGCAGGTGCTGCCCAGCCCCGTCATCAGCGCCAATGGGCCGGGAGACGACAAGCTGTTCCGGAGCCAGAGCGCCGACGTCGAGATAACGACGGAGAAGGAGCGGCTGAAGAAGATGCTCTCCGAAGGGTGAGGCGTGGGCCCAGCCCCGGCTTTCAGGGCTGTCCCAGGCTCGCCAGGCACCACTGGCTTGGACTCGGGTCCAGTCCGCAGTGGGGGAGGGGGATCCCGGCACCTCCCATCCGAGGGGGAATTAGCTCATCCCTGGTCCCACAGACCCCAGGGCCCCACCGTGGCAAGGCCGGTGCTCAGGGTGGGAGCCTCTTTAGTTCGGCTGATGGCTGCACAGTGCCCCCCCAAAGCCCATTGCTGCCTCACAGCCAGGCTGGGTCAGACCCATGATCCATCTCGCCCAGGGTCCAGCCTGCTGACTGGGGCCAGAGCTGGGCGTTTCAGAGGGAAAGAACAGAACTGGGCAGTTACAGGCTGAGCCACCCTGTCGGCCAATCCCAGGGTCTGGCAGAGCCCCCATGGAGCCCACGGGGCAAGAGCTCCCTGTCCCATCACCCCACCAGGGGACCCCTGCAGCTTTGGGTGAAGCATGTTGGTCAAGCAGCTTGTGGTCCCCGCCCCAGGCCGTTGGTCCGTGGCGGCAGAAGATGCGCACTCCTGTCTAAGTGGCCTGGGGCTGGGCGGGCGGTAACTCCAAGGGAGAGTCCAGGCAGTGTCCCTTGGGCTGGATCCTGCCCCCAAAGTTAGTTTGGTTCCATTGAGTCACTTTTCCACAAAGGGAACTCAAAGTCGGAGCGGTGGGGAGACTGCAAAGCCCCCTCCTGGCAGCTCAGCCTCCGCCGTGGCTGCCAGCCT